TGTTTGTTTGTGTGTGTGTGTGTAAAAGGCTACGGCGGCTACGGGAACTTCGGGGCAACGTAACACTGGTCGGAGTCTGGTAAGTAGATTTGCAGAAACGACTGATATCTTGGTGATTCTCGTTTTCCTCTGAATACAGACAGCTAGTACAGGCTGGGCCGACTTCTCTGTTTTAACTCATGTATGCCACATCTTCAGTTTCTGAACATGGATCCCGGAAGCCCAGTAAGGACCAGACCTTGCGCTGTGCTGCCACAGCTCTTTGCCAACCAGCGCAGATTCGCCAAGAAGAGTCCCAGGCGCATCTGGCAGCCGACCCAATGCTGATTCACAGACTGTCTGTCCGTCTTTCTCTCTGTCTCCTGCTCTCTTCCGAACTAAGGGCAGTGGGAGAATCGAAACTTCCATGCGTGCGTGCCGTTTCACCTTGAACCTGCATCACGCTTCCGTCCAGATGGCGAGTATCGCAAAACACATGCCTAGAAAAAGCTTAGCCCGTGTTCTCCCCGACGAACTGCACCATTTTGGTTCCCTGGTTTTTGTCAAAACAATTAGCCGGGAACTCTCAGCTTGCTGGATTAAGCCACTCGTTGCCACGGGCACCACGACTGTCTTGGTGGAGTTCCTGAGATTCTGCTTCGTTCACGGTTTGCAGCAGTTCGTCGGCCGTCGACATCTAGCCGACTGCAAAGAGTTTACAGATTGCTACCTCTCGTTCGCTCGTCCCTCCCTGTGCACCAAACTCTCCTTTCTGACAGCAGAAATGAATCAAGCACAGCAGACGGTGTGTGTCGTAAAGTTCTCCATAGGAGGAATCCTGGCAGCCAGAAGCATCTTTATCGTCCCACATATCACCACATGTCATGCACGTTTTGCAGGTCAAAGCCCGACTCGATGTGAACGTTCTATGTGACACATATTTGTGCGAAGACCTTTGCTTCGCTCGCCAAATTCTAAACACATTTCTCAGTTGAAGCATCGAGTTGCTCCAGATTGCAGGCCTCAGCATAGGATGAATGGGCGGCACATAGCGGTTCTCGCGGCTCCTTGCAGTCGAGGGTCTTCTCTCGGAGTCAGGCTGAAAGTGATCAAAGCCGCGGCGAGTGACAGAATTCCTTGCAATGTTGCTGCAATCCGCGTCGTGCTGCCGTGCAATTGCATGTGCTCTGTAACTATTCCCTGTTGCGTTCCTGCCTCTGTTGCAGTCAAGACACCACACGCACCGTACACAAACTCCATGCCTTGGTTGCATTTAAGCTCCGGGCAAACACAAGCTACAAAGTTGGCCCATGAACCAAGTAACCACAGGATTGCTGCAGCATTGGGAAGATGGCAGTTCCGAAGAAGGCGCCCAACTTACCACTGGCTGCAGAAATGCCGTGACAGCTTGCACGAGCCTCATGTCGGAATCAAACAAGGGGTTCGATCAAGTGAAACAGCTTCGTCGTGGCTTGCAAAGCCGCCGGCACAAGTCGGGAAGATCTCTGCAGGGATGATATATGTAGTCAGATTCGGTCCGGAATTGAGGAAAAGGAACCTCGAAGCATCAACATCGAAGTCATCGAAGAGAAGCAAATCGCAAAGCGCTTCGCTTGGTCGAAGGAGCATGAAGCCCAGAGCAGCCACGTGTGAAAGCACAGACGGCCTGTCGCTGAATGACATAATGCCGGCGACCTGAGCAAAGGGACCGAACTGACCGAACCACCGAGCCATCCCGGAGTCGAGTCCAAGTGGCTGTAAAGAACAGAACGGCGATGGCGAGAAAGCCATACAGCTGCATCTTGAAACCTTGGAACACATCCCCCTTGCGCAGTGAGCCGCCTACACAAGGGTTGGCTTCTTATGGCTATTGAGCTTGCTGCTCTCGCCTCGGATGTTTGCTCGAAATCTGCCACCACGATTTCGGCCTACCGCTGCAAACTCTTGCCGTTGGCATTGCTCTGTTGACACTGGGGTAAATATTGTCAGATTTCGGCATACAAGTGTGGCTGGTCGCAGCTTGTGTCTCGGTGCTGTCGGTTGCTGCATGGGTTGTTGCGCTTGAGGCACTGCTGGCAGTACTGTTTCACTTCGGGGCATGGGAATCTTGTCAGGACTCCCGGGCCGAAAGCCTCACCCCTGTAACGCCGTGTGGGGAGAGTCAGAGAAACACTTCCCGCTGCTGTGAAGAAGCTATGGCTATGGATTCACTATGATTCACTGCTATTCTCTCTCTATCTCGAACTCATCTAACTCTCTCTTTCGCTGGGCTTGAACGCACCTGTGCGGGGTTCACGCCCTGTTGGAAAACTCTCTCTACCTTCCCCTCTTTCTGTCTCCTCCTTCCTTTCGCGCCAGCTCCCGCTCTTTGTGACACATTAGCCGCGGCCTTGGACCTTGTCTCCGGCGGCCCCACTTGAAAACCCATCCATGCTATGCACCCCCAACCTGACTTGAAGACCAAGCTTGATACCCTCCACAAAGTGGCTACGGCGCTTCTCCCTGTCTCCTTTCAAGCCCAGCCCTCCTTGTTGCAAGGAGGACTCTTCCTTCTCTCCCTTTCCCTCTTGTCTTTCGTAGGGGTCGTCCAGGCGATCCTCAGGCCATGGGCTTTGGGTTTTCGACCGGTTGGTCTCAGTTCTGCGGGGCAGTGTGATGAACGCTATGCTTCCCACTCGTACCCTGCGCACGAGCTTGTCGGGCAGCCTGTTCAATGGGAACAGTAGGTAGATGTTGATGCGAGCCCCAGGACTCAGCTCAACAGAAATGTGCGACGGTTCTCTCCCTCACTCTCTCCCTGTCTTCAGCCAAGGCAAGCCTAGAAGCGGCTTGTGATCCTCACCAAGCAGAGGCCCGCTCCAAAGCCGACAATGGCAAAGCAGCTCCTGGGGCTCAGCACAGGGCGAAGGATCATCGCGTTGCCTAGCGTAGCTCAGAGGAGAGTTTTCTTCTTCCGCCCAGCTGCGTAATTGCTGCAAACCGGGCATGCTGAAACGCCTTCAGGGACTGGGAACGATGTTTCACGCTGGGTCTACTGCATGTCGGGCACGTGTTTTGCACAAAAGCCTCCTCCGTCGGTGTTAAACTGCCCGTGTGGATCACTGCATCGAAGATTGTGCTTTTGAAAGATCCCAGGCTGTAGGCAAACCTCTGCATATTCGCATTCCACGAACGGCGCATGACAATCTACAGAGGGCTCAACACCGATGAAGACTAGATGTAAAAGGAATCCATGGGTGTCACGGCGTGGTTCACTGGCTGATTCCCGGCCTTCTGAACTCGGAACTGGTACCGGAAACCACAGAATGTAGGGCAAGCATGCACTTCCTTAGGAAAACCTTGACGAGATTTGTTAATAACGTACATCGAAGGAAGCATCAAACAGCACGTCCGAGCGCCACACATGTTCATGAGCAGCCAAGTGGAAGCAGTACCCGCCAGCAAGGGCCAACGAGCAGAAATTACGTCCAGAATCTTACTTCGTGGGTTGTCTTCCACCTGCAGAAATGCTTCACCAGGCTGTCGTCGTACGGGCGATTCACAATATTGGCCGTGGCCTAGCCTCCTGCTTGCTCTTCTCGAAGATGTGGGATTCGGTGAGTGACCATCGCATGCCTCAGTACGAAAACGCAGCCCTGCCAAGTAGAGGAACATAAGCAAGTGGAATCATCTGTTTCTATGCCAAAAACACATGGATTCAGACTTTGCGCTGACTCCAAGCTGTCTCCCTCTATGGCTGCGGCAGAAGGCAAGCGCAGATGGCACTGCTCCAAGACCGAGGAGAAGTCTCCAGATCGCCTGTGGAACGCACAGTCACGCCGCACAGTCGCCCCAACACAAGAACCGCAAGAGTGAACTGTTACAAGCTTTTCTGGTGTTCTGTACCACGGGAGCTTGCTACTAAACAAGAAACCCTCTTAGAGACAAAGCCTGGTAGCCCTGTAAACATAACACAATCACGGCCTGCAATGTAACAGCACGGCTTGACTCTGGAATCAACCATAGAAACGAAGAAAACCTGCCCTGTAACAGCCCATTGAAACTCGGAGAGCCGTGAAAGCCCGCGGCCGACGCTACCTGGCATGCACAACGCTGAGGCAAACGCCTCAAGTGACAGCGGCGTGCTCAGCATCAGCATGGCCTGAACGCAGCATCGAAAGGCAACGAAAGGTACTTCTCTAGTGCCGAGTAGTCGACGAGGAGACAAATGAGGCGAGGACCATCATCGCCGACATCAGCATTCCAAGACCCTGTCACAGATGTGCTCTCGGTCGCTCTGCTCTCTTTCATCCTTCTCGCTCTCAGGCTCAGTGCGGACTTACGGATGCGGCGGCGTCCTGCATAGAAACTACCACAGCCATGGCCTGGCCACGTCCTGCATGGTATGCAACGTGCACATGGATTTGGCTAAGTCGCTACGAAAGTCTACGTCTACATTCCACATGCTGTCAAGAGGCCGTCTGAATCTGACAAAGTCTCTGCGGTTACCTCGCGTCAGAACGGCAATACTATCGAACTGCTTCGGCTACTTCCGAAACCAGTGTGGCCGGGTCTCAGTGGCTGACAGCGGATACTCGCCACCCACTCCCAGCCCCAAGAAGAAGCGACAGACAGACATTTGGATCGGCAGCGTCGCCGGTCCAGAACAGAGGGAGCATGACAGCGCTCCAAATATGGTGAGGGCCGCCGTCGTCACGAAGGCCCATTTCCGCCCAAGCCAGTCGGCAACGTAGCCGAAGGCCAGTTGTCCGATCACTACTCCGGCCAGCATCGCACTGACCATCATGGCTTTGGCTCGCGTAGATACAAGCAACTCCCCATACTGGAGCTGCAAAATCAAAACGACAAGGTCTATTGTAAAAAGGTCGTAGGAATCAGCCAGGAATCCAATGCAAGCTGCCAGCACGCGCCAGGCGCCCTCCGCATTACTGAGGCGCTCGCCTGCAAGAAGTGGCTGGCTTTCCCCCTCTTGGGGCTTCATTGCGGGCTGGTGCTTCACCACATTGCCGGCAAGGAGAGGCAGAGGGGGGCTCTCTGCTCTTGAACCGACTCCCAGCAGAGGCAAGGCAAGACCAAGATTAGCGGAAAGTCAACCTGGATGCAAGAGCCTACATTGCACAAGAAATTCATGGTCGGACCTTGCTGAATGTGCTGTGACCCTCCACGGTCCGGAACCTGCAGAACAGTTATGATCTCACGATTGCTGTCTTGAGCAGGAAACGAGTGAATGGCGACGTGCTTTAGGAAATGAGGACTGTGCCTTGGCAAAGCGTCGGCCTCCTCATCTCTGTTTGCCTTCTGCACATATTCTTGCAATGTCGGATATCTCGAAGGGTCGTAGTCTGCCCGAGGGGTGCCAAGACCCCTCGTGGCTTGCTTCTGTAGCTTCGACGAGCCTTTGTCATCATCCGTGGTTTCCATTGGATGCCAGCCAGACGCTTTCAAGAAATCAAGATCACGGGAGTACATCTGTACCGACCCGGAGAGCTGGACATACGAACAGCATGCTGGATCGCCTTCTCGATATAGAACTTGTCCAGCTACGGTCGTGACAAAAGACAGTGAGTCAGACTCCACAAGAAGCTTGATGAATCCTGCATTCTGCCCTTCTAATTTCTGAAGCAGCGACACCCCAAGTGCAATTTCATACGGAGTCTGCCCGTTCCGACCTTTGGACAGGAAGCCGTCTGCCACGTGCACGGGAGGTTTTCGAGCCGACCGGGCTTGCTCACAGATAACGTCCATCCCTCGTGGCCGGCGAAAAGAAATGGTGGACCACAACCCAGTAAATGCCCGAACATCATCTTCTCGCTTCAAGAGCCTGTAGTCCGAGCAGCTCTCCAGAACTTTGGAAACGATTCCAGAAGCAATTTTCTCGGTGCGCTCGTTTGGCTCTGGCTCGGCTTGTGCAGGCCGGAAGTCTGCAGCAAAGAGTTCGTTCCAAGAGTCTGATGCCAGGTATCCGGTCGTGAAAGATTTCACAGACGCCAACGATGCAGATGTCCATGGGCGTGCTGTGGCCGCAGACCTCATCAAATCGAAAGAGAACGGGAACGCAAAGCTCATGCTGTCTCCAGTGCCTCAATGTGTTTTCTCCCAGCGTGTTGCCGAGATCGCCGACCTCTGACTCTGACGACATTGGGTCGTCATAACAGGGCAACTGATGCCCCGGACCAGACACCAGGTAGGGCGACGGCGGGAGAAGAGCTTGGACGCGGAGGCCTCATGTGTTGGCTTCTGCGGCTTAGTAGAAACCGCATTTCGCAACGTTGAAGTTGGGGATTGTCTCCGCACTGTTGGGCTTGCGGTGTCGAGAATTATTAATATGTAAGACCGTGTCATGCACATATGTGGAGATGAGGGGTGGTGCAGTCGTCTTCATGGCCCACAATGGGGTCATGGCCAACAATGCTTACACTGACGGACGCTACTGCTTTTACCATTGAAACACCATGTCCTCCATTCCGAGCCTTCGCAAGAGCCACAAATGGTTCTGCTGACTTGCAAGGCCCCCATGACGGGAGCGTCTCAGTTCTCGAGGCCCGTGCAAGTCTCCAAAATCGGGGTGTCCTTCCATCAAAACAAGCTCAGACGCCTGCGACGCACTCGACCTTCAGCTGCCTGGCCCTGGCTGCTGTTTCCAATGCCACGTGTCATAGTGACCTGCACGAAGCATCGAGACCAACAGTCTACACCGAGTCTCGTGCCGTGGATACGCCTCTCAGGGAAGGAGACAACCTCAGCTGGGCAACGATCAAACTGCCATGCAAAGACTGCACCAAAGCCAATCCATTGAAACATGCTGTGGTCATAGCGGGCGCCCGATGGTGTGCACAACATTCGGACTCACAAGAGCTTCATTCCTGGATCAAGGACCGTCGTCTGAATGACCAGACGTTGACATCCCATCCACGCAGGGCTCTTGTTGACGCATCCTGGTAGTGTCATCATCCTGTCCCGGCATGCGCGAACTACCTTTCAAGTGAGTGCTGGTTACTGTTACCGGGTTGGTAAGCCAAGAAGAATCATGCAATCCTAGGTTCGGCTTCAATAACATTCGATGCGACGAGCTTGCTAAACACATATAAGCCCTGCATAGCCCTGCCATGTGCTCTCTCTTGTCTTGTGCTATACAAACACATCCGCGCCAACTTGAGGCACAAGCCGTAGCACATCACGGAATCCAAGAAATTTGCTTGACACGGTGTCTGCAAGACACGTGCGCACATCCCGTGTTAGGGTCTTAGGGCACACGAGAACGCAGGCTCGATGGTGAACTTGTGTGTGAAATGTTTGCACCCAAAGCCGTTCGAGGCACCCTGCCCGAAAACCAAATAAATTCGACATATGAAAGCTTGGCATGCAACCGCAACCAATTTGTGCACTTGTACATCCATATTGGCGTACAACCTAATCTGTCGTGGCCATTGGCCGTCCAAATTTCCACAGCGAATTAACTGACACGGCAGAATGTCACATAAGCAAAATTCAATTGGAAAGGCTGCAAGCTGAATTGCAAACATCAGTGGTTGACGATGAAACCGAAGGATCTTTTTTGCAATAGCAGCATGCGGTGACACACAATTCAAAAGCCCGTGTGAAATCAGCATGTCAAAGCCGTTCTTCTGTGTTGACGGCGTCTTGCTGTGGGTTCAACCGCACCTTTCCTTCTTTCCTGGCAACCACATCTGTTTGCCACGGCTGAGCTTAGGCATCCAAAATTGGCTGCGTATAATCTAGAGTCAGTCTAAAGCGTATTCCCGGTTAATCGAGTTTTGTCTGGTGCGGGGACTTCTGAGCACATGTTTTCCCTTTCGTTTGCGGTTTAGGTGATGTGTATACAATGCGGGCGCACAATTCTTTAGGAATGGGGGCCAACCCATTCTCCGCGCTTGCGTCAGCACGTACACATGAGGGCCCGGGCGTTGAAGCCATTTTCTCCTCACTTCTTCAACCCCAGTTTCGGGCTCACAAACTTGGACGGAAGATTGCTGAGGCTGCACACTTGGCAATTTGGCCAGGAGGAAGTACAGTTGAGGGAATTTGTGTCCACACTACATGTGAAACCGCTTTCTGGCCCCGGAAACTTGGCCGCGGACGAGCCTCATGAGCATTCTGAGTCTTGCACCACCCCCTTCCCCAACGGC